TCTCTCTCTTTACTTTCTCTCTCCTTCCTGTCCTAAAATCTTTCTCCTCTCTCTTCTTTCCTCTTTTAAACTTTTCTCTTCCTCCTTTTCAATTTCTCTATCCTCATCTCTCTCGTCGTTCTCTCTCCGTCTCTCTCTCTCTCTCTCTGCTCTCTCTCTCTTCCTTCACTTCTCCCCCTTTCTTCTCTCCTCTCTTATCTCTCTCACCTCCTCTCTCTCTCTCCTCCTCTTCTTCTCTCTCTCTCTCTCTCTCCCCTCCATCTCCGTCTGCTTCGCCGTCCTCTCTCCTTCTCTCTATCTTCTCTCTCGTCTCTCTCCTCTCTCTCTTCTCTCCCTCCTCTCCTCCTCTCTTCCTCTCGTCTCTTCTCTCCTTTCTCTCTTCTCCTCTCTCCTCTCAATCTCTTCTCCTTTACTCTTCTTCCTCCTCTCATCACTCTCGTCCCTCTTCTCCTCTCTCCTCATCCCCTCCTCTCCCCCTCCTTCTTATTTTTCTATTTTCTCGTCTCTTCTCATCTCTCTCTCCACTCACTCTCTTCCCTCTCTCGTCCTCTCTCTCTCTCGTTCTCTCTGTCCTCACTCCTCTCTCCTTCCTCTCTCTCTCTCTCTCTTCTCTCTTCTCTCCCTTCTCCCTTCTCTCCCTCTCTCTCCTCTCCCTCTCTCTCCCCTCTCCTCTCCCCTCTCCCTCCTCCCTCTCCCTCTCTCCCTCTCCCTCTCCTCTCCCTCTCTCTCCTCTCCTTCTCCTTCTCCTTCTCCCTCTCCCTCTCCCTCTCCTCTCCCCTCTCTTCCTCTCATTCTCTGTTTTTTCTTTTTCCTTCTCTTCTCCTTTTCATCCATCTTCTCCCTCACTCTCTCTCTCTCTTCCTCTATTGCTCTTTCTCCCTCTCCCACTATCCTAGTGCTGCAAAGTTATTAGCATATTGATATAGCTAGAAATTATATGAACTATTACTTGGAACGACAGAACCTACATAGATAGTGTGTGTAATGTAAAGCATAATACAAAATGAAACTTTGTATTTTTGCATTCTGTTTTATAAACGTTAAAAAGGTTGTGAAAGGCGTTTTTGCATGTTTTAAGAGGTAATGATCTTATAATCTATGAGGTAAACAAAATAAATTGAAGAGCAGGGAAGCATATGCTTATGCCTTGATGAAGCAAGAAAATGAAATGTGTTTCCCTATTTCTCCCTCCATTCTATGGCTTACACATTGTTTGACATGAATCTTATAATCTTTGTAGTGAATTCAAAAAGTATACTTTTTGTTCTGGTATTCAAAATGAAGTATTTATTACATTACCCCAGTCATTTGGTTGTGCTTTTCTACTTTATACTGTATGTTACACACACACACAAAAAAAAATCATACAAAAGCAAATACAAGTAGAAACAAACACACATGAACACAAACACTTGCATAAATACATGCATATATATTTCATTTGTCACTAATAAAAAGAAAAGACCATTAGAATTACAAAAACTTTCTCCTTATAGAATATTAGTGTGTTTTTTTATTGATTTTCTTGCCTTTTTTCTATTTTTATGAATCTGCTATGAATGTGTTTACTACTTATCTTTTAAATCTCTCTTTGTGTGACATGTTAGACTTGATTATAGAAAGTGAAATGTATTATTTGATTCCATTTCAAAGAAGGAAAAGCTTTCTTAACAGGAAATGTTTGATAATCTTTATTCATAGGAAATTCTTTCTCCTCACTATCCCCCTTCCTCCCTCCTGTTCCTCTGTCTGTCCTGTTTAATCTGGTGACCCAAGATTATACCAACGATATGCAAATATAATCATGCCATTGACGTACTGAACCTCATCAGAATATTCAGCTAAACATTCTCTTTACATACATAGAACTCTCCAACATATCACCAATTTAAAACCCTCAATGAGCAACATCCTTGTGGATATGTTTTGTTCCCTTTCACACTTTCCATAATATAACTTTTGGATTACAAGAATACGTGGATTTATCTATGCAGAAGGACACCTTAGGTAGTTTTATAAAACTAGAATGCACAGACATGTGATTACCTATTACAGCTTTGACTGATCATTGCCGCAAAGGATCATTAACCATATCTTTTCATAACAAGCCACACATCATATCAGGAAATGAAATGGCAAAAATACCATAGAATTTGTTTTGTTGTTGATGTGTGTTTATATTTTCCTCTGTACATAAACTTAATGTTTAGGAATGATACTGAAAATTATTATGTTTCAATCAAAAAATTCAGCAGATTTGACTGAAGTAAGATGAGAGCATTATATGAAACTGTGTGATGCACTCTCTTGCTGTGTGTGGTCGTGAGTTGGAAGAATGATTGTGCTGTCACTCAAAGTCATCTTCATGCAAGCTATAATATTTACCCATCAGGTTGCTCCAGTTCTCACAAATTTGATTTTCCAATAGTTTTAAAGATCAGCTTTCTAAGTTTAATATTGATAAGTAGATTCCGTTGTGGGCAGACTGGGAAGGGACACAGTGGTGAAGCGGAAACAAGGGGCAGTTGTCTCTTAACTGAGGTAGAAATAAGTATTGCTTATTGAATACTTCAAGTTCTTTGTCATGACTACAAATCAGTTCTGATATACAATCCACTTCATGTAAATACTTCAATGGTATTAAGTCATGGATTCCAGCTGTATTATCAGTATTACATTCATAATTATTGAGTATTATTGAGTAAGGTAGTACTAGTATATGTAATATATTTTATCGTGAATTAATTGAAAATGATATGTCTACAATCTAAGGCAATTTGACAAAAGTTTGTTTGGGTCATTTTATACTTTCTCATAACTAGTGGACAGTTGTTTCTTGAGAATTTGAACAGAGGTAGATGGCAACCTCATATTTCATAAATATGTGTGATAGGAATTTTCACACATTTTACTATATCCCAAATGGCACATCATTTGACTAGTAAAGCTAAGCATTTTAATTCACTAAATCCTTTCTTGTTTATTATTCTTCATTGATTAACATTGGGAATGTAATGTCACATAAACATTAATGCTAGCGATTATCATTCATTTATCATTTTAATCTTTTATGATATAAGGACTTCCTCCCAAATTGGAAGGTAAAAGTGCTATAAAGAGTATAGATTCTATCAGACTGTCAGCAGTGTGATAGATTTGCATAGTTATGATTTCATTAATATTGTTTAGAAAAACAGTAATTTTTCTAATCTGGTTTTGGGTATTATGAGGTGTAATTTAACCTTTTGGAATTGGCTTTATGCAAAACAATAATGAAACTTTTTCTGATAGCTAGGGTGAAGCAGAC